ATAAGAATAGTACCTCCCAGTTATTGAGGATCAAATGAAATAGTACTCATAAGGTGCTTTGCAAAACTTAAATTACTGTATTAATGATAGCCATTATTATTAGTGTTATGCCAATAAAATGTCTAGTTGGAGCAGCTTATCATAAGACAGAGTCTACAAAAGTGAAAAAAGATTTTGGCTAGTTTACCCTGAAACAAACTACATTATTTCGGACAAATCTATTGGAGGTATGGACTGCCTATTTATACTGATCACAATTAGATCATTTCCATGTCACTTTTTTCCATTTTGTTCTGTGTAGACATAACATTATCGATTTTGCTGACTTTTTTTTTTTGACACCAAAGAGAAAACAATAAATTCTTGAAGCTATTTGTATTTTCAGTCTCTACCAACTCTTGTCATGATCACTAATTTCCTTTAGTTTATTGTCTCCTGTGTGAATTCGTGCTTCCTTTTACTTGTCCTAGAACTCCCTCTTTCAGTCCTCAAGAGAAAACACCTTATTCCAATAAGTTTTCAATAATTATGCCTTACATTTGTCTCACTCCCAACCTTTCTTTTTGATATCTTTTCTTTTTACATCAACCTTTATTTCTGATTAAATCACTCCAGCTTCTCTACCTGGAGATACCCTTGTATCAAAGAATAAAAAAAGAAAGAAAAAATTTAGTTTAAAAAACTCAATTAAATACATCAACCATATCTGACTGCATTTGAAATATTCCACTCTCATAGCAGCATCCCCCACTCCAATTTTGTAAACAAAGGAGGGAAATGCATTTTCTCAACTCTTCTTGGGGACTAGACTTAGTTATAATCACACAACATCTAGTTTCTGTTGTTATCATTCTTTCCTTTGACATTGGTTTAATCATTGTGTATATTGTTTTTTCCTGCTTTGCTTACTTCACCCTGAATCAGTTCATATTTCTTCCCATTTGACTTTCATATTCATCACATCTTATGGTACAATCATTTTCATTACATTCATCTATCATAATTTGTTTAACCATTCCCAATTGATTAGAACTCTCAACTTTTCAAAACACTTTCCCATTTGTGATCTCATTTAATCTTCACAACTGTGTGGAAAGGAAAGGATTATCATTCCCATTTGGTGGATGAAGAAATTAAGATATAGAGAAAAGTTGAAGGGATTAAGGTCAAACAGGTTTGCAGTAGAAGAGCTGGGAGGAGAGCCCAAATTGCCTTCCTCCTAGACCCATGTGTTTTCTATTAGGCCACTCTACAAGTCACTGCTGGCTCCATTACCTACCCTTCAGGATTTTATAGACTTTGATTTTATAGCCCTTTTCAAACTTTGTTTCTTAACTAAAGAACCCTGATCTTTTTTTATTGTGTCTTCATATAAAATTGTCTTCATCTCCCTGTTTGTTATCGTTATCCTAAAGTAATTTTGTCCAGTGCTTTAATCATAGAGACAGTATGGTTTGGTCGAGGATGGCATGGTGGATTGAAGTCAGCTAGGTTTAAATGACACTTCTTATACTTGTTAGCTATGTGGCCACCAGTGAATCGGTCAACTTCTCTGAACCTTAGCTTAATCTTTAAAATGTGATTGTTAGTACTGGTAGTAACTACTCAGTAGGGTTTGTTTTGAGAATCAAGCAAAATAGTGTATGTAAAGGATTTTGCAAATACTAAAGCATTATAAACATGTCAGTTCTTAATACAGAATAATAATAAAATTCTAGAATATCAGAAGAGCCTTCAGAAGTGCTCTCTTGAAAAGGAATCTCTTTTATTGTTGTTGTTGTTCAGTCATGTCTGAGTCTTTGTGACCCTATTTGGATGGTTTGCCATTTCCTTCTCTAGCTTATTTTACAGATGAGGAAGCTGAGGCAAAAAGAGTTAAATGATTTACCCAGGGTCACACAGCTAGTAAGTATCTGAGGCCAGATTTGAACTCAAGAAGATAAATCTTCCAAATTTCAGGCCTGGCACTCAATTCACTCTTCCTTCTAGATGCCCCATAGGATTCCTAACAAGTAGCTATTCAGGCTGTGCTTGAATACTTTTAGTGATGGAGAACTCACTATCTATCAAGGAAGTACTGAAGCTCTTTGTCATATGAAATGTCATGAAATCTGTCTTTTGTAACTTCTAACCAGTACTAATTATGTTTCAGGAACTTCTTCCCACATTGCGGCTTTTTAAATACTTGAAGAGAGTTACCAAATGTCCCCTAAGTCTCCTTAGGTTCAAACAGTTCCAGTTCTTTTGTGGTGTAGTGAAAAGAGTGCTGGACCTAGAGTTAGGAGAGCCCTGGATTCGGATTGCACTTTTGATATTAACTATATAACTCTGGAAGTCTGTGTAAAGAGTAATAATACCTAAGTAAAAGGGTAGTATCTACCTCTCAGAATTAATGTGAGGGTCAAATGTGGTGTGGGAGAAAAGTGCTTTGTAAACTTTTAATTGCTATGTACATTTTTAGCTACTCTTGTTACTTTAGTATGATGTACTTTCAAGCCTCCTCACCGTTGTGGCCACCCCTCCTTGACCATTTTCTAACTTGACAGTATCATTCTTAAAGCTTGATGCACAGTAGTTGCTGTTCAGTTGTTTCTGTCATGTCTGATTCTTTGTCACCCCATTTAGGGTTTTCTTGGCAAAGCTACTGGAGTTGTTTGCCATTTTCTTTGCTCGCTCATTTTACAGAGGAGAAAACTGAGGCAAACAGGGTTAAGTGACTTGCCCAGGGTCACACAGGTAATAAATGTCTGGGCTGAATTTGAATTCAAGAAGACGAGTCTTCCTGACTCCAGGCCCAGCACTCTATCCACTGTGCCATCTAGCTGCCCTTTGATGCCCAGAACTGATAACAAAATTTTGTATATGCTCAGATCAAGGCAAAGTGTAGAGGGACTTCCCTCTCACTCTGGACAGTATATGCCTGTATTCATTCAGCATGAGATCCTATGAAAGTTTTGGTTTCCATATTGAGCAGTTGATATAATATTGAATGTCTAGTCCACTAGGATTCCCACTTCTTTAAAAAAAAATTATTGCCTGGCCATAGCCCACCCTATACTCCCATCCTATTGTGTTCTCATGCAGTTATATTTTTGAATGCAAGTGTAGAATTTACCTTGTTACTTAATATGTATCAAATAATGTATCAAATTTGTATAACATAATGTCCCAATGTTCTAACATGATTTTGTCATGCAATGTAATAGCTATCCTTTCTAGTTTCATTTCAGCCACAAATTGGATAAGTATGCCATTTATTTCTTTATCTAAGTTATTGATGAAAATTTTGACAGAATACAGATAAGTACAGATCTCTCATGCACTCTATTAGCTTCCTCCCTCCAAGTTGACATCAATGCATTAATCACTATGCTTTGTTTCTGGTATTTCAACCAGTTTGAAATCCACCCAACAATATTGTCATATATTTGAGTATGTGGACCCCTTCATGATATCAAAATATTTTGTGGACCCTTACATGATAGCAATTATACTGTTTGTATCTGTTGATTAAGAAAAATAGATGATTTGATATGAACTTCCTGAAATAACTCCCTTGTCCCCCTTTACCCTACTTGCCTTATATCCCGCAGCAATCTGCAGTCTTAGACTTGAGAACTATAGATATATCCGACATTTGTCCATTTTGTTCATAAAGTTATTGCGAAGCTTTGTCAAATGTCTTACTAAAATCCAAATATGCTATGTCCCCAACTTAATCCATTCCCTTAATCTATGAGGCCAACATAAAGAAGATGAGATTAGCCTGGCATGACCCATTCTTGATCAGTTCATTTCATCTCTTAATGATCACTGTTTCCCTTTGATAATGATACAGAATTTTTGCAGGATTTGAACTCAAGTTCCCTTGGCTGTAATTCATTGAATCTCTATTTTTTTTTGTCTTTTTGAAAACCAAGGCAACATTTCCCTGTGTCTAGTCCCAATAATTACTTTTCTATATGGGATACTGTTTAATTAATTGGATAAGATGCTTACTTTGGGTAACTTTCGGGACTGGACCATGATAAGAAATGAAGCTTAGCCACAACTGATAAATAGATTGTTGAATGTTAGTGATTGGAGTGTTCTGGGTATGTGGGAACCATGGCAATCCCCTGGGAAATACATACTCATAGGGTGCAGTTTGCTGTTTGTACTTTGTCCATGGTCCTCATTGTGTGCAAAATACCATAAAAATAACCATTGTCTTGCCAAATACTGGTGGGTAGGACTGGGGCTCATATGTCTTTCTCATGCTTATGCTTTCCTCTCCTTTTTGACACAAAAATCATCACTGAAATCTGCCCCCTTACCCTCACAGGGGAAAGAGGATTCAGATTATGTCAACATTGCCATGATCATTCTTCCCCCTTACTAGACAACTAATTGGAGTTGTAGTTATGGCAGATACTTAACTGCCTTTGACTCCCGTCTTTAAAGTTATCAGATCATAGACTCATAAGATCATAGATTTTGAATTGTTAGAGTTGGTCCTGCTGTTGCAAGTTTCTCCCTGCCTCCAATCCATTCTCCACCCAACTGCCAAAGTGATTTTCCTAAAGTGCATGTCTAGCCACATCACAACTCTCCCTCCCCTTCTTGGTCTTGCCCAATAAATTCCAGTGGACCCCTGTCACCTCTACAGCCAAGTATAAAGTCTTCTGCCTGATATTTAAAGGTCTTTACAATCTGTTTTCTTCCTACCTTTCCAATTTTCTTATACTTTAGTCCTCTGCACACAATTATTCAACTGTACTAGGCAACTTGATGTCCCTAAAATATGTCTTATCTCCCATCTTCTTCCTTCCTTCCTTCCTTCCTTCCTTCCTTCCTTCCTTCCTTCCTTCTTTCCTTCCTTCCTTCCTTCCTTCCTTCTTTTCCCCTATTTCCAGAATGGTCAAGTGAGCTTAAGCATTGGTAAAAGTTCTGATATATCAAAATGAATTTGAAGCTTCAATTTAACTCTCCTGGTATTTTTTGTCCACTCTCCTCTGCAGCCTCCTTGGCTTTTCTGTGCAACCTAAGGCCCTTGGAGGAAAACTGTGAAGCCACCAATGCTACCTACATCCAGTGTGAATTGATTGTCAGCATGGGGACCAGCAATCTATTAAGATCTTGGTCTTATATCTACATGTGTGAAGAAAGTCCTTGGTGTACCTTAACTCTGGACCATCAGGTAGACTCATCCCTGGAATTATTCTCTGGACTTTTCATGAGGTAATAAAATCCTGGGCCACCATTCAAATATTCAAATGCTCTCAGTCTCTCTCTGTGGCTCTCTGTCTCTCTATCTCTCTCTGTCTGTCTGTCTGTCTCTCTCTCTCCCCCTTTTCCTTTCATTATGACATAAGAGGGGATTAGGAATTGCAGGATAGGAGGGATAACCCTAGATGTTTCAGTATTCCAGATCCAGTGGGTACCTGAGTGGCCCATGTTTCAGATGGTCCAGAGGGGGCATTCCATTGTGAATTCCATCTAGCTTGGATATCAAAGCATCTCCTGTCTTTTTTAAGTGTTCAGGAGAACATCTGAAAAATCTACACAGTAAACAGTCTGCTTTGTTCTCTCTTAGATTTTAATATTTATCTTCCTATCCAAAGCAACATCTGGTGAATGCCAATGGGGAAAAAGATTAGACATTATGAAAAACAGAAGGGTTCCCCCCCCCTTTTCCCATTTCTTTTCTTTCCAAACAGATTCATGCATTTTTTTTAAAAGAAAAAGTCACAGAGAAATCCAGCAGATTGTACAGTGTTTATTCAAAGGAATGAAGAAGCACAGGCAAAATTACTGTAGATTTAGGATTTGGAAACCATAAGCTTATGTGGATTTACTTTTTTTTTAACCTCAAAAGAACAAATACTGGCTGAAACTTCCCAGGTTCTCTCCCCAAACTCATTTTTTACCTCAAATAAGTGGAGAAAACAGCAAGACAACATGGGGTGCTCTGAGATTGCCTTGGTTTTTAGAAGAAAAAAAAAGATCATGTTTAACTGCTTTTTCAAACACTACCATATTTCAAAGCTTCTCTCTCTCTCTCTCTCTCTCATCACATGATGCTGCATCCTTTTTTGTTCCCTATAACTTTTAGGCATAAACTACTCTTTTGCCTACCTAGCTGGGATGGCTGTCTTTGATCATTTCATGGAGGTTTTATTTACAGATTAGAAAATGAAATCAAAACACAACAAACCAAGTAAATCACATTGAATCAAAGAGAAAAATAACCATTGTATTTCAGGAGCCTGATTTCTTCATGCTCTAAGACAATCTGGATTCTGTGGGAAGCTATTCTTTTTTTAACAGAATGTAAGCTCTTTTACAATTACAAGTTGTGGTACTACCTGGGATAATTGAGCCTGCTAGGTGGTACAGTGGATAGAATGCCAGCCTTGGAGTCAGGAGGACCTGAGTTCAAATCCAGTCTCAGACAGTTAGTAGCTGCGTGAACTTGTTTGCCTCAATTTCCTCATCTATAAAATGAGCTGGAGAAGGAAATGATAAACCACTCTGGTATCTTTGCCAAGAAAGCCCCAAATGAGGTCACGAAGAGTTGGACATGACTGAAATGACTCAACAACAATGAAAACCCCTCCACCTTGACTTAGGTTCTTGCCTCCCAGTGCCTGTTTTAAGAATGTTACTTCAATTTTTGAAGTAAAATTGGGTCTGTTTATTTGCTTGGGGTTACAGTCAAGAATTTGTCTTTTTAACCACTCAAAGGTAGGGAGTGGTTGCAAATACCCACTTGAATAGTAGCAAAGGAACTGTGGTAGTAAATAGTTTATCTAAAAAGAATAGTTTGCATTTATATAGGGTTTTAAAGTGGAAAGAGTGCTAGGCTTGGAGTCAGGAAGACTCTTCTTCCAGAGTTCAAATCTGCCTCAGGCACTTACTACCTGTGTGACCCTGGGTAATTCACTTAACCCTATTTGCCTCAGTTTCCTCATCAGTAAAATGAGCTGGAAAAAGAAATATCTAACCGCTCCAGTATCTTTGTCAAGAAAACCCCAAATGGGGTGACAAAAGGTTGGACACAACTAAAAAATGACTGAACAACAACACGAAACTCCAAGTATCATTTGTATTATACCCATTAAGAAGTATTGCCTCCCTTACTTTCGTTTGCATAAGTGCCATCTTCTAATTCAATAAACATGTATTTGTATATGATTTTCTATATAAATGCTCTTTACTCCAAACAAGCTTCTTGAGGTCAAGGACTGGTGTGTGTGTGTGTGTGTGTGTGTGTGTGTGTGTCTGTCTGTCTTTGTGTGTGTGTGTGTGTGTCTTTGTGTGTTTGTGTGTCTTTGTCCCTAGCACAGCATCTGGCACATAGTAGGTGCTTAATATATACTTGTGGAATTCAATTAAATTGGATCTGCTAATGCTTTTCTTATTCCTTCACCTTGTGGCAAACAAGCTGTGAGTCCCCATCTCCACCTGAGATACAGATTTGTATGAAATCCATAGAAAAGAAAAATCTAACGGCAGAGTAGAATATAGTAAATTTCTTTAGGGTTTCCTAAAGTGATTAATAATTTCCATTAGTCTTGATGTCTAATTCCCTTTAGGTTCTGACTTAAGTATGTGGACATCTGCTTCTTTTCATGGCTGTTTTAACTCATTTCAGTGCTGTTATTTAAGGGTTGTTCATGGTTAAAATGGCAGATCTAGAAAAGACCTTAGAGATTATTTAGACCAGGGGTAGGGAACCTGTGGCCTCGAGGCCATACCTGGCCCTTTAGGTCCTCAAGGGCAGTCCTTCATTTGATTGAATCCATTCAGTCAAAGGGCCTCACTTGAGGACCTAGCGGGCTATGTATGGCCTCAAAGGCACAGGTAACCCACCCCTGAATCTAGTCCAATTCCCTAAGCTTGCAAAGGAGGAAACTGAGTCTCAAAGTTGCGAAGTGCAAAGGCCAAAGTTCCACAGAGAATAAGTAACAGAACTGGAATTCAACTCTGTTCTTTTCACAGTAAATTTAGCACCCTTTTTGATGAAGCATGCTGTTTCTTATAGTGAGGGCCAGGGTGCATCTGACTAGACAACTGAAAGTCAGAAAACACATTAAGCCCAGAACACCATAGCCTCCTCAGAAGAGGATTGAAGTGGAGATTGCCAGTTGGGGTAACATCATTGCACCATGAAGAAATACCCCTTTCCTACAGGGTCCTACATCGTCTATCCTAGACTTGTAATGTTGCTAGGGTAATTAAGCTCCATCAGGGTATTGTCGTTGTTGTTCAGTCATGTCTGATTCTTTGTGACCCCATTTGGGGTATTCTTGGTAAAGATACTGGAGTGGTTTACCATTTCTTTTTCCAACTCATTTTACAGATGAGGAAACTGAGGCAAATGAGATTAAGTGACTTGCCCAAGGTTACACAGCTAGTAAGTATCTGATGCCAGATTTGAATTCAGGTCTTCTTGACTCCAGGCCCAGCGCTCTATCCACTACACTACCTAGCTGTCTCTATCTCACAGGGAATACAAAGACAAGAGTGAAATCACTCCTATAGTCCTTACCCCAAAGGAACTTACATTCTTTTGGGGGGTCTTATTCATCTTACCATTGTAACTTCTTTCAAATGAAACCTCACCATTCTCCATAGCCACTACTTTAATTTAGGCTTCCACTTTCTTCTCTCCTGGCCTATTACACGAGCTTCCTAAGCGATTTCTTCCTTTCCATTCAATCTTCATTCCTGTCTTTTGTACAGATGAGAAATTACTATTCTGGTCATCTCTACTCTCCCATATTTGCCCTCTGTTCCTGTCAAAACTCAAAAATATCTTCCTTCAAAATACTCTGTCCTTTCCAAGGTCTGTTTTTGTTAATGCTCTTTCTTCTGCCTGTAATGCTCTCCATCCATTTCTACTTATAGGATCATAGAATTGTAGATTTAAAGCTAAGAAGGGACCTTACAAGTCATCTAGTCCAATCTCCTCATTTTATAAGAGAAGAAACTGAAACAGAGAAGCTAAGAGATTTGGCTATAGTCACCGAACTAATAAATGTCAGAGGCAGGATTGAACCCAGCTCTTTCTGACCCCAAGTTCCTCAGCTTATCTACCGTGCCATGCTGCATCTCATCCATCCCTTAAGACCTATCTTAAATTCTACTTTCTTAGGATGTCTTTCTCTAGTTAATTGCGTTAATTGTTTCCTATGAATCCCCATTGAGCTTTGTATATCCCTTATGACAATTACCAACTTCTGTCTAGAATTGTCTGGATGGTTGTTTTAGTCCCTTCGTTAGATTATAAGCTACCAGAAGGCAGGGACTGTGCCTTACTCATTTGTTCTGAAAGGCCATCAGAGCTTCTTCTACATGGTATACATTTCATATTAACCGTAAAATGCAATGAAAATATTTGTTAAATGCATGATTTCCTTAAGACCTAACCAACCTAGTGACAATAACGTGAGTGTGGGAGTTAGGAAGTCAGTTTCTAGACACCTACCTACCATTAATTAGGTAAGGTCACTTAATTTCTCTTCATCTCAGTCCAAGGATTAATATGAGTCCTGCCTAACTCTTAGGATAGCTGTGGGAATAACTAAAATTTATATATATAGTGCTTTAAGTGTTTGAGGTGGAATTTGAGCCTAGATCTTCTTGATTGCAATTCCAGCATTCTATCTACTATATCAAATGAAAGAATAAGAGAACAAAAACTACAAATCATTATAAAATATCAGGTGGTATATTTGTGTTATAGTCCAATCCATCCCAGAAAGGGGTCCTCCGCTACAGTACATACAGCACGTGTCATCCAGATTCTACTCTTTTTCTCCCTCCAATGAGGATAAACCCACTTCTTCCCAAGGCAGCCCATTCCACTTTTGGAAAGCTCTAATTGTTAGGCAGAATCCCTCTACATCAACTTTCATCCATTGTTCCCAATATAATTTGTATTATAGTTTTTAAATATTATAATTAGATATTACTACAAAATTTTTAAAAAAGATAGATCAAATGAGATATTAGAGGGATGCAAGAATAGCACAAGTATGTAAGAAGAGTGTCAGGTCAATAATAATTCTGATAATAATGCTAACTAAATTTTTTTTGTGTGCTTCAAGTTTTGCAAAGTGCTTTTTATATGACCTCAGGTTTATAAAATACAAAAAAGGAATAGATAGATGTACTAGTTGAGGAAGGTTGTATAGCGTTAACTGATGAAAACAAAGCAGGAGGACTCCTTTAAT